AACGATAATAAGATTTGTTACGATAATAGTATGGAGGGAAAAAGGGACGGGGATGGGAACGATAGATCATCGTTAACGATAGAGTGATGGAGGCAATGGTACTAGTGATGGGGTTAACGATAGCAGTGATGTTAACGGTAGAAGTGATGGTGCTAACGATAACAGTGATGGAGGTGACGGTAATAGTGCTGGTGTTAACGAGAGTAGTGATGGTGTTAACGATAATAGTGACGTAGGTGATGGTACTAGTGATTGTGTTAACGATAGTAGTGATGGTGTTAACGATAGTAGTGATGATGTTAACGATAGTAGTGATGGTGTTAACGATAGTAGTGATGGTGTTAACGATAGTAGTGATGGTGTTAACGATAGTAGTGGTGTTAACGATAGTAATGGTGGTAACGATAATAGTGATGGAGGTAACGGTACTAGTGATGGTGTTAACGATAGTAATGATTGTGGTAACGATAATAGTGATGGTGGTAAATATAGTAGTGATGGTGGTAACGATAGTAGTGATGGTGTTAACGATAATAGTGATGGTGGTAACGATAATAGTGATGGTGGTAACGATAATAGTGATGGTGGTACCGATAGTAGTGATGGTGTTAACGATAATAGAGATGGAGGCAACGGTACAAGTGATGGTGTTAACGGCAGTAGTGATGGTGGTAACGATAATAGTGATGGTGGTAACGATAGTAGTGATGGTGTTAACGATAATAGTGATGATGTTAACGATAATAGTGATGGTAACGATAGTAGTGATCGTGGAAACGATAGTAGTAATGGTGGTAACGATAACAGTGATGGTGGTAACGATAATAATGATGGTGTTAACGATAATAGTGACGGAGGTAACGGTACTAGTGATGGTGTTAACGATAGTAGTGATGGTGTTAATGATAATAGTGATGGAGGTAACTGTACTAGTGATGGCGTTAACGATAGCAGTGATGGTATTAACGATAATAATGATTGTGTTAACGATAATAGTGATGGAAGCAACGGTACTAGTGATGGTGTTAACGATAGTAGTCATGGTGTTAACGATAGTAGTGATGGAGGCAATGGTACTAGTGATGGTGTTAACGATAGCAGTGATGTTAACGGTAGTAGTTATAGTGCTAACGATAGTAGTGATGGTGTTAACGATAATAGTGACGTAGGTGATGGTACTAGTGATTGTGTTAACGACAGTAGTGATGGTGTTAACGATAGTAGTGATGGTGTTAACGATAATAGTGATGAAGGTAACGGTACTAGTAATGGTGTTAACGATAGTAGTGATGGAGGTGACGGTACTAGTGATAGTGTTAACGTTAGTTGTGATGGTGGTAACGATAATAGTGAGGGAGGTAGCGGTACTAGTGGTGGTGTTAACGATAGTAGTGATGGTGGTAACGATAACAGTGATGGAGGTAACGGTACTAGTGATGGTGTTAACGGTAGTAGTGATGTTAACAATAGTAGTGATGGTGGTCACGATGGTAGTGATGGTGCTAACGATAATAGTGATGGTGTTAGCGATAATAGTGATGGAGGTAACGGTACAAGTGATGGTGTTAACTATAGTAGTGGTGTTAACGACAGTAGTGATGGAGGTAACTGTACTAGTGATGGAGTTAACGACAGTAGTGATGGAGGTAACGGTACTAGTGATGGTGTTAGCGATAGTAGTGATGATGTTAACGATAGTAGTGATGGTGTTAACGATAGTAGTGATGGTGTTAACGATAGTAGTGATGGTGTTAACGATAGTAGTGATGGTGTTATCGATAGAAGTGATGGTGTTAACGATAGTAATGGTGGTAACGATAATAGTGATGGAGGTAACGGTACTAGTGATGGTGTTAACGATTGTAATAATTGTGGTAACGATAATAGTGATGGAGGTAACGATAGTAGTGATGGTGGTAACGATAGTAGTGATGGTGGTAACGATAGTAGTGATAGTGTTAACGATAATAGTGATGGTAACGAAAATAGTGATGGTAACGATAATAGTGATGGTGGTACCGACAGTAGTGATGGTGTTAACGATAATAGTGATGGAGGCAACGGTACTAGTGATGGTGTTAACGGCAGTAGTGATGGTGGTAACGATAATAGTGACGGTGGTAACGATAGTAGTGATTGTGTTAACGATAATAGTGATGGTGTTAACGACAATAGTGATGGAAGTAATGGTATTAGTGATGGTGTTAACGATAGTAGTGATGGTGGTAACGATAGTAGTGATGGTGTTAACGATAATAGTGATGGTGTTAACGATGATAGTGATGGTGGTAACGATAGTAGTAATCCTGAAAACGATAGTAGTAATGGTGGTAACGATAACAGTGATGGTGGTAACGATAATTGTGATGGTGGTAACGATAGTAGTGATGGTGGTAACGATAGTAGTGATGGTGGCAACGATAGTAGTGATGGTGTTAACGATAGTAGTGATGGTGGTAACGATGATAGTGATGGTGGTAACGATAATAGTGATGGTGGTAACGATAATAGTGATGGTGGTAACGATAGTAATGGCGGTGCTAACGATAGTAGTGGTGGCGGTAACGATAATAGTGATTGTGTTAACGACAGTAGTGATGGAGGTAACGGTACTAGTGATGGTGTTAACGGCAGTAGTGATGGAGGTAACGGTACTAGTGATGGTGTTAACGATAGTAGTGATGGTGTTAACGATAGTAGTGATTGTGTTAACGATAGTAGTGATGGTGTTAACGATAGTAATGGTGGTAACGATAATAGTGATGGTGGTAACGATAGTAGTGATGGTAGTAACGATAGTAGTGATGGTGTTAACGATAATAGTGATGATAATGATAATAGTGATGGTGGTACCGATAGTAGTGATGGTGTTAACGATAATAGTGATGGAGGCAACTGTACTAGTGATGGTGTTAACGGCAGTAATGATGGTGGTAACGATAATAGTGATGGTGGTATCGATAGTAGTGATGGTGTTAACGATAATAGTGATGGTGTTAACGATAATAGTGATGGAGGTAACGGTACTGGTGATTGTGTTAACGATAGTAGTGATGGTGGTAACGATAGTAGTGATGATGTTAACGATAATAGTGATAGTGTTAACGATTATAGTGATGGTGGTAACGATAATAGTGATCGTGCAACCGATAGTAGTAATGGTGGTAACGATGACAGTGATTGTGGTAACGATAATAGTGATGGTAACGATAGTAGTGATGGTGGTAACGATAGTAGTGATGGTGGCAACGATAGTAGTGATGGTGTTAACGATAGTAGAGATGGTGGTAACGATAATAGTGATAGTGGTAACGATAGTAGTGATGGTGGTAACGATAGTAGTGATGGTGGTAACGATGATAGTGATGGTGGTAACGATAATAGTGATGGTGGTAACGATAATAGTGATGGTGGTAACGATAGTAGTGGCGGTGCTAACGATAGTAGTGGTGGTTGTAACGATAATAGTGATGGTGTTAACGATAGTAGTGGTGTTAACGACAGTAGTGATGGAGGTAACGGTACTAGTGATGGTGTTAACGACAGTAGTGATGGAGGTAACGGTACTAGTGATGGTGTTAACGATAATAGTGATGGTGTTAATCTCAGTAGTAGTAACCAGTAACCAGTGTACCATTGACTCGTTACCAACCGTCTCTGCCTGAGTCACTGTCTATTCATATTGTGCTGACCTGGCACTATTCAAAGACCCCCTCACATATGGGTACTGTGGGCGGCCAGTCGGGCAGTGGTACGAGAGAGAGCAGAGAGACAAGGTTACGGCTGTAAGGGCGCTACCCACATTATCTGTAATTATACGTACTACCAGCCTACGTGAGTATTACTTTACCCAATCCACGTGTCGAACTCCCACATGATAAATGGTGACAGCGGTGTGGAGCGTGGATTAAGTTTTAAGGGTAATTCAAGACGTTAGAAGACTGTTTGTGAGTAGCCGGCGGGTCAAAGGTGAACCGTCTCAACCACCAGCTACTCCACTCACAACCTCCAACCTGCAAGCCTGTTGCAGCCGTTTCAAGCTTCCTGGCTTAGTTCGTGTGCTAATTGCTTCAATCTCCGAGGGGTTTTACCCGGATTTTGCAATTAAGCCAGTCAGTAAGCCAGACTGTGGAAGTGAACGCCAGTCAGCCTATCATCCAGCCTGTCTCCTGTCATCCACCTGCTTCTCCGTGCTTTGTGCATCGTTACACGTCTTCCAGTCAGCCTTCTCGTGGGTAAGCCATCAGCCAACCCAGCTTCTAACCCCTGAGAGAGAGAAGTAAGCCACACAGTTAAGAAGTAAGCCAAGTTCCTCTAAAGTATTGTCTATATCGCTTTGTGCTCCCTGTTGGATGCTAAGAGTGGTTTTCACCATTCCTGTGGCATAGAGGGCTTATCAAGCCACCTTCGTGGGTAGAGTGGACGGCGTTGCGCACCAGCGAGTCATCTCACCAACCATACTCTCTCCCTCCACACACCAACCATCCACCACCAGCCACCCACCCCATCTACCTGTGGTTGTTTGCACCCTTGTACCGGGTCCTAATACTGTTTTGGCTCACATAATTGGTCAAGAATAAAGCTAATTATGCGAGTCCACCGAGAAAGCGCATTTCTTCACGACGACAGTGTGAGTGTCGGCGTCATCACAGTGCAGGACAACCTTCCTCATCACCAGTCATCACCCGACTGCTACAGACTTCAGTGATAATTTTCTGTTTAGAGACATTTTTCTTGCATTTAAAGACATTTGCGTGTGTGAGACATTTATAGTAAATTTCTTGTGTACTCTAAACCTTGTGTTTTCAGTGTAGACTCAGTTTTCTTTGCCCTCGTTATTTTTACAATATTTTTCAGTGTTTTCACTCATCTTATATTTTTTTTTATTCTGTGTTTTTTTTTTTATGCTACTCCTGTCTGTAGCAAGTATTATTGTGTAGTGTACCAGTCAGTCACTCTGTGTGAAGTGATTCATTTTTTTTATTGTATTCTTTCAGCGTTGTATTCTCCAGTAATTGCATTGTATTTCATGCAGTGATATTCACCCCGTATACCAAATTATCCATTTATTTCTATGTGTGTCTTTTTTTCGTATGCCAGCAGTGTCTCATTCCTCTAATTTTTTTCGCAGACTGTGTACCATTATTTTTGCCAGCAAATTTTTGTCGTATCAGTCACAGCAAGATTTTGTTGTAAGAATATACTAATAATGTTGTGGGGCCCCGCCACTGTAAGTGTTAAACTACCCTTTTTTGTTCCTTTGTTTTATTTTATTCATATTTTTATATTTCTTTGAACAAATTCACTCTTGATATAATTTCAATTACTTTTAACGTAAAGTGTTTTCTTTACTCTGTTTGAGTAAATTGTTTTGTCTAATTTACAATTAAGAGTTAAAGTGTTCAATCAGTTTTTTTTTTTCTTCATCTTTTTATTTCATTATTTAACCTGAGTTTTCCCAGTGACACTATTACTGCAGTGATTATTTCTACACCTTATTTTGTTGCACTTGTTCTGCAGTGAATTATTTTGTTGCACTTTTCTGCAGTGAATTATTTGTTGCACTTGTTCTGCAGTAAAATTTTATTTTTTTGCACTTGTTCTGCAGTGAATTATTTTGTTGCACTTGTTCTGCAGTGAATTATTTTGTTGCACTTGTTCTGCAGTGAATTATTTTCTTTTTTTGATATTTTTATGAATTATTTTTAATTTTGTCTATGCTTTCTTAGAAAATATTTAAAAATTTCCCAGTTAACAATTTAGTAATTTTATTTTATACTTTTTACATTGATTTAAAATTTTATTAATTACTTTCTTTATTAGCAAGAGTAAAGACAGCTCTTTTTTGCATTTAATTCAGTCTCCATAAATTTTTACTTGTATATTTAAATGTAATTTTTTTTATCTTGCCCAATAGTCCTTTAAATTTGATTGTCCTTCCTCTTGCAGTGTATCTTAGACATTTTTTTTTTTAAATTCTGCAGAATTATTGCATCTCCTTTATTTCAATTCTAGCTTTTTTGGTATCATTTTATTGTTCATTTTTTTTGGGCCTATTTGTTCTCGTGTTACTTTGCCATATGTCTCACATACTGTCAAGTGATACTTTAGTGAATGTCGATACTCAGACCTCTCAGGCTACTGTTGCCCCTGTCATCAGTCCTCACATTTTCCTTAGCGACTGACAGACCGACCCAGACACCGAGATACTATAGTTTAACTCGTGTTTCCCCTTTGATGCGTTACCTTTATTCAATGGCCATGTACATAGTCTTGAAGCATGGTTTGCGGCATTCGTTCTCGTGCTAGTGCTCTCGTTGAAGGTCCCCTTCAGAGGAAAGTCTTATCGACTTGCAAAGAAGCTCTTCATCGATCCCCTGCTGCTGTCACGTTGTTGACCCTCCTTGATATGCGGACTTCAGGAATCTTACTAAGTGGTCACAATATTGAGGAACTGATTCGTTTTTTTCCTTGTCCATTTAAAGAAGCTGATCCATATGTCGTCCTTAGGAACTAGTGAATGCTACACCCATGGTAAGAATCGTTGAGTGCATTTGCTGTTAGATTAGACAAACTTTTATCATCATTATCAATGCTGTTCAGTCATCAGCTTTTTTCCCTGAAGAGGCTAAACCATTTACAGAATCGCTTGCTAAAATAGCAGCTTTTGGAGCAATTTAAAGAACTAATGCCGCCTGCTTCCGTGTGTGCTTATAGCTCATCCTCCAACTGTGACGATGGAACCACTTACAGCCTTAAATCATGTCCCGTTCCTTGTGCCCCCAGGGTACTTTCCCTTGTATCAAAAGTAATGTCACACATATGCCTCAGTCTGCACCACCTCTTGTTTGCGCCACAGAGCCCAAATCGTGGTCGTCAACCACTCAGAGATCACCAAGAACCAGTGTACAGAGTCGTTATACACCTCGTAGTATTCATAGTACATTCAGTAACCATAGACGGCGGACTTGTTATAACTGTGGTTTCCGTGGCCATATTTGCAATTAATTGTCCTGATAGTTACCCTAAGAGACGTCGTACTGATGATAAAGTACCCAATTTTCCCCTACTGTACTTATCATAGAATACATGGACATGAACACATCTGAGTGCAATGCTCTCTTAACCTTCAGTACTCTAGGTCTTTCCGTGGCCGTTCCAACCGCAGAACCTAAGAGGAAACAGATATCGTGGTTCTCAAAATAACCAGAACCAGGCTCATTCTTCCAATTCTAAAATTTAACCAGAACCAGGCTCTTTCCCTTCCAATTCGGGGAATTCGAGCGCCCCAGTCAAACCGTCCCATGGTGACAGTAGGTGATAATGAGTACCCCAAATCCCCGTTCACAATTCCTTTGAAGCCTTAACAGTCTCGAGAATGACAATCCTGCTGATGATGTTGCTTCACATGTCTCTGACATAGATGATTTTGGGGATGAAGTGGAACAATCTTTTTCTGATGACAATCCCCCTTTTTGTTTGCACATAACTTCCAATGCAACCATAGGCCCTATAGTTGCAAGCATCTGTTCAAAATGCGCCCGTTCATTTGTTCAGGGACCTGGTGCGCAAGTCAATATTATTGGGTCTAGTTTGTTTAAGGATAAGCAGTTACGACATTCCTTCTCGTAGAACCGACTCATGTGTCCTCCCTTAGTGGAGAGCTGGTTCTCACCTGCGTGTCCGAGGTCGGACTTCCCTAACCTTTTCTATCCAAGGAGAGACTTCACTGCTTCCTTCCTTTGTTGTCGACCAGATTACTTTCCCTGGTACCTTCTACTGGGATTTGCTTCCATGCGAGACTTACCGCATTGTGCTCGACCCTTATCGATGGCATGCCCAAATTGACGACTTGATGGGTTCCATTCTGGGGTTCCCAGCTTGGATCAAAAATCTGTTATACTGCTGCAGAGTATGATGTAGGATTAAGTCCTTACAAGCTAATGCATTCTCCAGTAGCGTACCCAAGCGGTCAGGCACTGGTAATTCTGTCATTTCCCATCAGTGTTCCACCTATACCTTCAGACTTGCAGGATAGTCCGATGCCTCAAGTGTCCGAGGACACTCAGATTGCCTTGAGTGCACAACCTATCCCTGCAATGATGCTATTTCGAGTATAGTTTCTCCCAGGGGACCCTTGTCAGAAAACGATTACTTGAAACTATAATCCATCTCTTGTTGATGTCACATCCCGTCTGCAGAAAGAGTCTCTGTTGCGGCTAGTGCTCTCACTAAGTGTCTGTTGTTGTTCCTAGTGTTCCAGAGGGTGATAACGTCCTAGTTGACAGTGATTCCTTGCAAAGAAAAAAGGTCTATTTGTTGAACCATCCTTACATGTTGTAAGAGATAGTAAGATCCATTTCTTCCTGGCCAACACTTCTGGTCACAGTGTTCGCCTCAGAGCAAATACCAATCTTGTTGACCTTGTTCACTAACCTTACCCTGTTCAGGTAGAGGATGAGTTGTCACCTGACCAGTGGGTCGGTGCTATTTCTGCCGGGGAGACCTCATCCACTTCACTGGATCAATCTGTTCCCCCAGTTGAGGAGAAAGACTTAGCTCCCACGACTTCCCAGATGAAGTCAATGTTTGTTGACTCTGTTGAACAAACGTCAAAAGCCATTGCTTTACAAGGGGAGAAGATGGTTATAACGAACTTATTGTCCCATCGTATTCCACTTGAACCTGGTACTAGACCTATCTACATACCTGCGTACAGAATGCCTCAAATTTACAATTGATGTCGCGAAGAATTGATCAATCAAATGCTTGATGATGGAGTTTTTTGCACCTAGCAATTCCCCTGGAATGCACCTTGATACTAGTACCTAAGAAGGATGGACTTGGCGCCCAGTGATTGACTTTAGGAAGTTAAACGCGAAAACTATCCCAGATCGCTTTCCACTCCCTGTACTGGGTGATCTTTTACGTAATATCGGAATAACAAAGTCTTTTCAACCCTAGATTTGTTACAAGGGTTTTGGCAAGTCCCTCTTCACGGGACAGCCAAGAGCTAACTGCATTCTCCACTCCTACAGGTCATTACACTTCCTCCGTATGGCGTTTTGGTTACGATCTTCCCCTATCACATTCTCAAGGCTCATGACTAATAACTTTAGGGTCCCCATAGGTAATGCACTTATGGTGTAC